ATCCGCCGGGTCCTCCCGCGGTCCTCGCCGCGCGCGTCCTCGGTCCTAGGGTTCCCCCAGCTGTTCTTGCCTCCTCACGAGCAGGTAGGGGCTCCCGACCGTGTGCCAGGTCTAGCGGGCACAGCGGCCACCAAGACGGACGGGGCCCTAAATAGAGGCGAAAACAGACGAGACCCGGGGAGACAAAATCAGGGCAAGGCACGCTGTGCTGGGGAGCGCATAGTGAAAGGGGTTAGACGGAGAGCGACGGGAGGGGACCTCCGCTCCCAATGCGACGGCCAAGAAAGACTTGGATGCGGGCTTGTGGCGAGGACCTCCTGGCCTCGCCCCCCGTGGGGGGAGCGACTCGAGTCAGGTCGCCTGTCCAGCCGGTGGGCAGGGTCGGGCAGGGCAGCCAGGCCTGGAGGGGCAGCGTGCGCGGCCAGAGGGGGAGAAGGGCGGAGCCGGCCGGCAGAGGACAGCGACGGTGCAAAGGCACTGAGGCCTACCGGAGCTGGTCTCGCTCAGCCTGGCACCCATGCTGTCCTCGCTTCACCAGGAAGGAAGCCAGGCTGCAGAGGGTGGAGAGTTACGTAAAAGCTTCAGACCTAATTGGTCTCCAAGAATAGACTACTGCAAAGTCCCATTTGCTCCCGCAAACCAGACCTCTGTCCCCTTCCTGGTGGGACGGGATATATATGTTGATTTTGCCATTTCCCCTTCTCCACCAGGTTAACCAATGGCCTTAGAGACTTGCCTGTGTTTCGTGTCTGCATGTGCGTGAACTGGCTCTGAGATTTAACTTTTATCAAATGATTACAGTCATTTCTGATACTTGGTTTTTCTCTTAAAACTCACATTGGTAGGTTAAATAAGTGACACATGCTTCATCAGCATAACTGATCATATTCAAAACGACTAGGTGAGTTTATAGGAACGTGTGTGAGAAAGTAAGCGGTGCACAAAATGGTATACTGCACATGATACAATCCTAATTTTATTTTTTAAAATATAGACAAATATTTTGAAGGAAATGGAGCAAATCGTTGCTAATTGTTCTCTAGGTAGAAGGATGTGAACGTTAGTGACATTACTTCTTAATGTTCTTCTGAATTTTTTATATTTTCTAGAATCTATATTGAATTTATAATCAGAAACATATATTTAAAATCAGAGTTGGGGAGGGGGTGTTTTGTTTTGTTTTAACAAAAGAAAGACAGTACCAAAATTATCCAACACTCAGATCTCTAGGATTTGGTGCCACTCAGAAACCCAGACCTGTGCCTTGGAAGAGTCATTTCCCCTCTCAGAGTTTCTATTTCCCCAACTAAAAACTAAGAGGAATTAACTTCATCAGTGGTTTTCACAAAACTGTTCTTACATATCTCTTTGTAAGTTTTTATTGCTATTATAAATTATATTTTCAAGTTTATATTTTATAATGTATGGATTGATGGTTATTGAAATGTGGTTGGTTTTTTATATAATAATCTTGTATTTTGCAAACTGGGATGCTTTCTTAGTTCTAAGTTTATAGGCTCTCTTGAATTTTCTGTGTAAATAATCATAGTTTTCAAGTAATGATAGTTTAGTATCTTTTGCCTTTTTTATTTCCTCTTCGTTTTACTGCACTGACTAAAATCTCCAGCACAATGTTGAATTGCAGTAATGATAGTGGACATTTCTATCTTGTTCTTGACAGTTTCTAACACATCACCCTTGAATATGATGTTTATTGTAGATTTTGATAGATACCCTTTATTGGGGTAAGGAAGCACTATTCTGCTGTGTTATGAATGGGTATTGAAATGTATCAAATGTGGGATTTTTCACCCTGATGTAATGTATTACAATCATAGATTTTATTACATTAAACTGTCCATGCATTCCTTTGAGATGTATTATTTTTTTCAAGATAGTGCTGGATGCTATTGGCTAACATTTTACTTGGGGTTTTTGTGTCGATGTTTATGAATGCAGCATGTTTACTATTTTCCTCTCTTACTCTCTCCTTGTCTGGTTTTGCTATCAAAGTTACTAAGCCTCATAAAAGAAATTAAGGAATGGCTGTCTATTCACTAGAGCAGCTTCTGTAGCACTGAGGTTTTCTGTAGTTTGAGTTTCCTATAGGTTTCTCCTATAAACCATCTTGGTTTAGAACTTGGCCTGGAAAGCATTTATACTGACACCCCAATGCACAACATTCACTCTGGTATCAGGGCCCACCTCTCCACCTAAACAGCTCTTATGGGGCCACCAGGAATCTTGTTGCTGGATCCAAAAGAACCTCCTCAGCTCTCCCTCTCTCAGGCCTCCCTGGGGGATATGTTGACCACACCCTCTGAAAGACAGCCTCTTTGGGGCTCTGTTCTAGTTTCCCTCCTTCCTCTGCAGTGCCT